GTGTGTGTGAGAGAGAGAGAGAGAGTGTGTGTGTGTGTGTGAAAGCTCTGCTGTACCTGCAGCGCCACGCGCCTCCTGAAGAAACACGCCATGAGTCTCGCCGCACGCGACGCGCTGTCAAAATACAAGTCACCAGGCCCCCAAACTCTCCTCTTCTTTAGTTTTTAACAGCGGTTGGCATGCAGCTTATTGGCGCATTACCGCCACCATCTGTTCCGGAGTGTGGATCAATCAGTAGGTTTAGTCTATTCTAGATGATGAGATCAGGAGAAAGGGGGAATAGGTACGGTGGCCGAGAAGTGCAAAACAAATCACAAGTCTGAAAACAAAATAACAAATTACAAACGCAAATGCAAGTCTAAAAAACAAAATAACAATTCAGAAAGCACAACAACAATTCAGAAAGCTAAACAACAAGTCAGAAAACACAATGACAATTCAGACAAACCGGAAGAGGTAGGTATAGTTAGAGAAGAACCAGCCGAAGAACAGCAGAGTCCTGGTAGAAAGTGCGGAGAAGGTGTTAAAGTAGCTCAGTTTAAATGTGTTGTATGAATTGCCCTTACTCTGGAATAAAAAATACAGTGTATATTTAGATTTAGTTAAAAGTGACTGTAAGTCATCAGCTCCAGTGGTGCAGATGGATGAGCGTGTGGCCTTGGCTTTTTGGCGCGATCGACCCGGGTTCGATCCGCCTTTTGCCAAACTTTTTTTTCCTCCCTTTTCAAATCTTGTATTAGCAATGGATTCTATTTACACTATGTTAAAATAGCAGGATTTCTACTATCAAGTATACTACTTGTTGCAAATAGTTGCAATTATCTGCACTTCAGTATTGTAGTACATTATAAAACAGTATGCAATAATAATGTGTGTTGCTCGGCAACCACTTTGTAGCAACCACAACGGTTTCTGAGGAGCTACATTGTTTGGTGGAAGAATACTGTGTTTATTAATATCATTACACTTTATTTGCTCTGTTTTATTCTGTGAAAGCTTACTACGTATATATTTATATATATATATATATTATTTGTTTGTTTGTTTGTGTTATTCTTAAGTGTGAGAATACATAATTGTATTTTGTGATCGATTCAGAGAGTAATCTTGTCATCTCTGCTCAAAACATATCAGAACAAAAGATGAATTGCTATCCTTTTCTCTGTTTCTCCCTCTTGTTCAAAAATATCGAGTTAAACTATAAATTATACTATAATTTGATGAGGACAGCACTGCTTTTGATGAGGACAGCACTGCTCAATGTTCAGCATTTTTACATCGAGATTGTCAAGATTTGACATCTGAAGCTCAAGCCGTCTACAGTTCTTCTGTCGCAGTGATTAATAAAGTCTACATGTGGCATTTGACAAGTAGCAAAAACTAAATGTTACAATAACAATACAATAACTCGATTATATATGAACGTAAATCAGATCAATTTGCAAATCATATTTTATGTTAGAGCATGCACACATTGCCTCTAATAATATGCCTAATGTAGAAAACAGCTCAGTGCAATAGTTTACACACAAATGAAGATTTGCTGAAAATGTGCTCACTCTCAGTCCATCCGAGATCAGGATGAGTGTGTGTCTTCATCAGGTTTGGAGAAATGTAGCACTGCATCAGTGTCTCAGCAGTGGATGCTCTGCAGTGAATGGGTGCCGTCAGAATGAGAGTCCAAACAGCTGATAAACACATCACAATAATCCACAGCACTCCAGTCCATCAGTTAACATCTGGAGAAGACAAAAGCTGAAACACATCCAGCATTAAGACGCTTTTAACTCAAATACCATAGTATTCATAATCCATAATAACGCTTCCTCCAGTGCGTCAGTGTTCTGGTGTGAATCAGGAGAGAAATCTGCACAGATCAAGCAGCGTTTAAACAGCTCTAAACACATATGTGGCTGGATGTTGATGTGAGAGACAACAGCAGATGCACTTGTTCACTGGAGGAAGCGTTATTATGGATTATGAATACTATGGTATTTGAGTTAAAAGCGTCTTAATGCTGGATGTGTTTCAGCTTTTGTCTTCTCCAGATGTTCACTGATGTACTGGAGTGCTGTGGATTATTGTGATGTTTTTATCAGCTGTTTTTTTCAGTTTTGAGGTGAACTGTCACATTACACTATGAATTATAACATATACTTTAATTTCAAAGCAGCTAAATTTGACAAAGTAATCTGCACTGCTGGATATTAGTTGTTCATTTAACATCGTCTCTAACAATGTGCTTTAATTATATTTTTAACAGTGCAGTTGTATTATAATAGTAATATATTACTACCTTTGAGATAAGACATCATATTCTATATATTAACTATAGAAGTAGTATTATGATGTTAAAATTGAGTAGGTTCCTGAGTGGACTGAGTCCACTTTAAAGTCCAGGTAGAAGTCAAAGCAAAGACTTCTTGCTCTGTTCATTTGGACACTGAAAACTACTTCTCAGCGCATCACACCGATGCATCTAGCTTTAAACGCGTGTGCACGACCCCGGACTCCACCACACAGTCTTACAAAATCCTGCGGGAAACGATGGGTTTAGCTGTCAGTAAGAGTTCACAGTAAACACATTAATCAGATTGCATCAACTGCTCCACATCACACTCACGGACCCAAAGAAACATCCACGAGCTAGCAGTGGTTAAGCGTGTAGATTCAGTTGATCTGTTTTCAGTTTCACTTGATACGGTCTCAAGTGTCAGTTTAGGCACTTACTGGTTATCCCAGGCACTTCAGGAATCTAGCACGAGAAACCCAAACTATCCGACCTAAAGTGAACGTACAGCAGCAAGAAACAACAGCAGTTATGTAAACGCTTTATTTGTATACTTTCCCAACATAAGTCACTTAAACTACAGGAGCGGTAAAACCATAATGCAGAGGAAAGGGGCAAAAAAAAAAAGAATTAAAAATCAACAAAAATAAATACAAAGCATGAAAACAGACTCCAATTGAAATAAATGCTGTATTTGATTTGTACATGAAAACTCCAGATGAAAGCCAGGATGTATTTACACAAAGCTATGAACAGCAGTCTCCCTCACACACAGTCTCACATTTATCATGGCAATCGACGTCATTTGCAGCGAATAAAAGGCATTTTACATAAATCAAACATAAAGGATGTAATGACAGGTGACTGTGTAAAAGGCATGGTCAAAACCTAATAAATATCCAGGGTTCAGTAAGAGACACAAGAGCCACTGATTGGAGTAATAGTTGCAGAGGTGTATAAGCAGCCGCTGCAGAGAGAGAGAGAGAGAGTGGTTACGCACTGACAGAAGCCTGACACAAACTCTGTGCCCAGCGGGGGAAAGATGCGATTGGCACTGCTGGAGACCCAGCTGGACCTATCCTGAGCGTCAGGAGCTCACACAGGCAGAGATCCACAGGACAAGACGCCGTCTGACAGCAAGGCGCGCTCAGGACACATCTGCAGAACAACAGCGGTCAGCCGTGAGCCAAAGACAGCGAGCACAACCATCAACACACACCAGAGCAGAGCATACGTACAGCTGGCAGGCTGCTCCCCGAACCGCCTCATCAGCTGGTCATGGGTGAACTTCACGAAAGCATCGTATTGCTCTGGAAAGGCAAAAACAACACGCAACGCCATCAATCAACAAATGCACATTTTGAGCTGTTAAAGGGGTCCTATTATGCTCTTTTACAAAGTCTTGATTTTGTTTTGGGGGTGTACTAGAACAGGCTCTCATACTAGGTTGTTCGAAAAACACGGTATTTTCCCACATATTATACATTATTACAACACCTCTCTCCCCAGTCTGGC